CGAAATAGGAAATGCACCTGTTATGGCAGCACAAGAAATGCAAGTTGATCATGTGCCACCATTAATTGCAGAAGTAGAACAGCCGCGCCGTTCGCTAGAGCGCGAAGGGGAACGTGGAAATGTTGCATTGTTACCTATACAACGACCACGTCCACTAGCACCACGTTCTTTGCCTGATTTCTTAGAGTTGCTATGTGAAGGGCGTGCGAATGCACGTGAAGCAATCGTACCCGTTGCGCCTCCAAATAACATCCTAATGTTGCCCGTTGAAATCATGGTAATTATTTTCTCCCACTTGGACGATATGTCGATGTGGAAGGCGAGTGAAGTGTGCAAGCAATGGCGTAGCATATTAGAACAAAACACATCGCAATTGATGTGGATGCGTTATTTGAAAGAGCGCTGGCCTCTCTTTCAGTGCATCGTTGATGTACCGAATTGGCTCAAATTGTACAGCGCATTGATGAATTCCTGTTTTTGCCGAACTTGTTTGCTGCAGATGGCATTGAAGTCGCCACCGCGTGCACGCCAAAATGCGATACGAATGAATTTCTTGCGTAACGATGCACATCAATTGAATAGCCATGCAACGGAGGGCATAGATGCGATACCCTTAGACAAGCAAAACACCTATTGGCAGGCGAGCATTTTGGGACCTGCCGGCAGTCCATACGAGGGTGGCAAGTTCTTCCTTTATATCTTTTTTCCAGAACGGTACGTAGCAAAACGACTTTTAATTTTTTAAGAGTCCCAATTCAAATGAAAATATATCTTTAGTTATCCAATGATTCCACCGACTGTACGCTTTTTGACAAAGATTCTTCATCCGAATGTGTCACGCCATGGTGATGTGGGTATCGATATTTTCCAGCATAACTGGTCCTTAGCATTGAACGTCTCGAAAATCTTGTTGTCGGTGCAAAGTTTGCTCACAGATCCATATACAGAGGTTTATATGTTTGAATTTTTTGTTTTGAATTAAATTCATGCTAAAGTATGTTTTTTATTGTTTCGATTTTAGATATGCATGGAACCCGAATTAGGTTATATGTATGAGCACAACCGTGCCCGTTTTGAGAACTTGGCACGTTCTTGGACCTGGAAGTATGCCATGTTCGAGTTGATGCCGCCCTCCTAGGCGCACGTATGCACATACACAAGAAAATAAAAAGAGTTACTTTGAAAACCAAGTGACCAATCGCTTTTTAAAAAGCATTTACGAATTATTTATTTATTTATCTTGAGCACAAATAATTGTTTTTAATTTAATTTATTTATTTATGTAAATATAAAAATATTTGCATATTTTTTTTGGTTGTGCCCCATGTCAATAACTAAGCAAGGTACAAGCAAAATCGTCTAAAGGATAACGGAAAAAATATGAATTATTGATTTCTTAAAATATTTGCTATTACCACTACATGTATTTAATTAACTAGATTCAATTTATTCAGAATTTCTGAATCTCATTTGTTACGTGAATTTCCTATATATATTCTTTAAAACTAAACTACTGATGACTCGATTAATCGAAACTAGCAATAAATACGCCTAGAATTTTTACAAGCATACATAAATCATATATAACTTTTGCACATTAAATGTACTATATTAATAAGAAAGTAATAATAAATATATAAAATCATATTAAAAAAAACCAAAACAAGAACGCGAATATTCATACATATAAAACTATTTAATGAGCAAATGTGAAAAAAAAGTAAAAACATATGTATATTTTAAGTTTGATTTTAAGAACTATTTCAATACATAGTAAGAATTAAGTAGTGATACTGTTGTGAGACTTATGTACGTGCATACATATATATGTACATACGGACATACATAATACATATTTAATTCTAAATAAACATTATTTTGTTCTACATACAACTATTCAAGTGTTGGCAAGTTTTTTAAGGCTGGTTTTCGCAAATTCATATTTTGTGAGGTTTTGTGACATATTCGCCCCAATTTTTGGTCTCAAGCATATGGGCGTGATCAGCTATGCCAGGTCGATTCTATGGATCCTCGGTTAATCGTTTCATTATGTGACAACTCCCATGCCAAGTATGCATCACTGAGCTATTAGGGTTAGAAGACAAATAAGAAAGAAAGTTAGGTTGGAATGGTTGGAGAGCAAACCTCCTCATAAAAAGGTTAATATAGGCCCATTGTGACCCCCTTTATATGTACAGTGGCAAAAATATAAATATAGACTCGACATTTTGCTATTTTTATTTTGTTATTTTTTTTATGAAAGTGTAACTTGTTTTAATAACCGACTTCCAAAAAAGGAGGAGGTTATCAGTTCGTCGGAAAATTTTTTTTTTTTTTTTTTTTATGTATGTTACCGCATAACTTTGGACCACGTGAACCGATTTCGATAATTCTTTTTGCATCGGAAAGGTAGTGTCTCAGAGGTGGTCCCATACTAATCTGGTTAAGATCCGATCAGCGGATCATGAGATATATATATATATATATATATTTTTTATATGGGAGTTGAAGTCGGTTTTTTTTGCTAAAAATTACTAGTAAGAAAAATCCAATCCGAATTTCAAACTATATATGTGTGTACAAAAATGAGGAAAGTTCGTCAAATTTTAAAATTTAATTCAGAATTTACTTAAATTTTATTCTATAGTAGCCAATGCCCAGCTTGCTTCGTGACGCCTGCATAAGAACTTTTGAGCTGACAAATACAAAAATTGTGTTGAAAAGCAAATACGGCTTCTAAAGTAAAAATTACACTGGTTTAAAGCAAAAATGTTCTATGGATGCCACTATCCAATTCCTATGTAGAATTGCTCGGTGATTCCGAAAATCGAGGTAATAATATTTTTTTCTATGGATAACTTTTCCGAGATATTTGCAATTTACCGTTATTCACCTTAAAAAAAAATAGTGGTTTCACTTAATCGCGTATATCTTACGAACCAATTAAATAATTGTAATACGAGGTGCGGCAAATGAAAGAAAATAAAATTCTTCATAAACCGTTTATAGATTACTTTTCGATACTCCTGATAGTTTCTGAGAAATTAATTAATTATTTCTGACACCTCTTGTTTTCGATGCCAACACCCTACCTACTCAGGCGTATGAGTAACACTCTCTTCTGCGCATATTTCATACAAAAAATGCTTGCGCATTTTCATTTAACCAATCATTATTTTCTTATTTATCTATCGGTTTTCTTCATGGGTAGCTTAGTTTTTTTTCTAACAGGCCCTAACACAAATGCAAAACATTTACACAGAAGCTGTTATTTTTTGAATTGATACCCTGTTAAAGTTTTTTTTTGGCATTTTTCCGCCATCTGGAATTAATTTCTCAGAAACTGTCAGGGCTATCGAAAAGTGATGTACATATATACAGTTTATGGAGAATTTTATTTGCTTTCATTTGCCGTATCTCATATAGCGATTATTTAATTGGTTCGTAAGATATACCTGAATAAGTGGAACCACTCTTTTTTTTAAGCTGAATAACGGTAAATTGCATATCTCGAAAACGTATACATACAAAAAAAAATTAACTCGATTTTCGGAATCTGCGAGCAATTCTACATACGAATTGTATAATGGCGTCTGGAGAACAAAATCAAAATTAAAATTTGTGAACCAGTATTATTAGTTTAGGTTGAAACGACTGAAGAGCAGAACCTTCCGTTCTCATAAGCCTCTGGATTTCAGTGCCATCTATGTTTTGGGTAAATTTCTTGTAGATAAATTTAAATTTATGTAAATTTAAAACTCGTTAATCCTGGTCGTACGATAAAGACGCATTCTCTAAATACCTCGACTCCAGCGCCATCTGTCAGAAACTAATTTGTATGCATTTACCATAGATCTTCACACCAAATTTCAAAGTCATGTGACTTACGGATCCGAAGTTATAGTCATGTGACTAACGGTTTTGAAGTTATAGCTGATTAAAAATTGTATGCCTACGGGATGTGCCACGCCCCTTTTACAAAAGTATTTCTACTTTACAATAAGCATCTACCGTAGATATGTATGTCAACACACCAAATTTCAAAGCCATGTGATTTACGGTTTCGAAGTTATAGCTGATTAAAAATGTCCGGCCTACGGGAGGTGCCACGCCCCCTTGCCACATTTCATTTTTTATACCCTTTATTATAGATTCCTATAGAAATAATTCATTTAAATGGATTTAGTAGATTTCGGAAAAGGCGCCTTCGAATTAATATCGACTTTCTACAATGCTATGTTCTGATAACTCATACGCCTATTACATCCTTATCATGTAACAATGAATATGAAAGAAAGTTGTAAAAGGAAGGGAAAAATCAAAGTTGTGACGAATAATTTCTCTTAAAAAAATTCCAATTACTTTTCTTGGCATATTTTTTCGGCCACCAATGTTTTGTCGGACACCTGTGACATTTGCATTGCTCTCCCACGAAAGCTTTTTTCGCACACAACCAGCAACACAAACAGCTGCTCTGTGGTGAGGAAAAACGCACGCAAATTCTCACTCTCCCGCAGACGAATTCACCATTTTGCATGCGCTCCCCTGGAAAAGTCCAGCAGCAAGCGAAAAGCAACAGAGGGCTACAACAACAGCAACAGCCATACGTGCCGACTCACATACAGACAGGCACACACACACTCACACATGCATATAGAGGGCGATGTGGCCTCATGCAGTTAGCTTGGCGCTCAGCTCTGTTAGTTCGAATTTGAATTTGCAACGGGTAGCAATGCGCGGAAAGTGATGCGAGCATTTCACAAGTAAATATGTATTAAAAAAGATTAAAGAAATAAATTACTAATGAAAGTGTAAGTGAAAGAAGGTGGTGTGAAAAATTTATGAAAAATAAAATATTTATACGCTGGTGTTGGGTGAATAGGCGAATCAAAATGACAAACTATATGATTGCGCTAAATGAAAATGTATATATCTACATATCTGCGTATGTGTGCGCGTGCGAAAAAATGTGTGTCTGGAAAAAATAAATCGTCGGTTGTTGTTGCATTACTTCGCAGTTGAAATGGTGTTGTTGTCGTCGTCGAAAAGGTGAAAATCGTGCTCGTGTGTATTTTCACCAGTCGTGCGTGCAAAAAAAAAGCTGCCTCTACACACTTTCATATATAAAGTATGTACGTATGTATGTATGTCTGTATGTGAGAAACGAACGGAAGCGGGCGAGAAAAAGTTCTATGACAAAAAACAAAAACCAAAAACATTAAGTGCGGCAGATCTCCCCACGCCGCCGGCGCACACGAAGACGTCGTCGTCGTCGCCGCCGCCACAGTAGGCGAATGAAGAAAGAATACGAACGCTGGCGCGACAAGTGTAAATGCGAATACTTTTCTGGTGGATACGAGCGGTGCGCGCGCGTATTTATTTATTTTTTTTGTTCCTGTGCCTCTGTGATTTCTAATCGCAAGTCTGCATGAGTGTGTGTGTGTGTGTGTGTGTGTGTTGTTGGGCAATCGAGTGTAGGTGTTTGTGCGGGCATTTAAGCATCCTGTGGCAGCTGCTCGACTCAAGGATAAAAGCCTGAATGACTGAGGCAAGTGCGAAAAATAAGAGAAAAAACACGACGAGTAAAAGCTGTCGTAGTGGTTGCCAGATGTGTGGATAAAAGATATGGGAAATTGTAATACATATGTACATGAAAAAATTATTAAACAATTTAATGGCTAAGCATGCACATATGTATATACATATGAACGTATGTATGTATGAATAAAAACGTACTAACGTACAAACATACTTACACACTATCCGATATTAAAGTAAAGGAATAAACTTAAAGAAATAATTAATCTAAATTTAAGTAAAGCACCAAAGAATATGACTTTATGAGTAAATGCAATTTTCTTTACGAAGAGAAAAATCGTATGCCATAAATGATTATTTATTTTTAACTACATAAACTTGTAGATATATTTGATAAAATGTGGGATTATAAAACTGAATAGTAAAAGTGGACATGTAAGCGGGTTTGTATCTTGTTTGTATCAGGACTTCATCCCTGGCAAGCGCAGTATTGCCAGAGTTACATTAATTCGTATCCCAATACGAGACAGGGTTCTTCTGCATATATCTGCTTTTGTATATACATATACATACACATACATATGCACACTTTTTACCGATCACTTTTTTCACTTTTACGACTTCCTTAGCCATTGAAAAATTGTATATGGCCAGTTAAAAAAGAGTTCTTTTATGTCCAGTTTTAAATGGCCTAAAATGGATACCCTGTCTGTTAAATGGCTAAAATTTACTGTTCAGTTTTCAAAATTTTAAAAAAAATTTTATCGAGTTTTTAAGTTACCAAAAGGTTATATCCAATTTTTCAGTTAAAAGTTTTGACCAGTTTTTCATTTACCAAAAATGTATGTCCATTTTTAAATAATTAAAAAGTTAAATAGTTGAGGTTTAGAAATTAACAAAAATTATAAATATGTAGGTCCGGTTTTCAATTGGCTGTGTGTACAATTTTTAATTGACCGAAAATTCTGGTCCGTTTTTTTTTTAAACTAAAAAATTATTTATATGTGGTTTAGAAACTACACACATTTTGTGTCCAGCTTTTTAATGGCCTCAAATTTACATCCAGTTTCCTCCAAGTTTAAAAGCTTTCAGAAAGTCATTTCCAGTTGATAAGTTACC